CCCCATCCTGTAACGCGTCTTTAGAAAGATCTGCCCCCCGAAATTTGGGGAACCGCCCGCGCCGCCGGCCGGGGCAGCCCCTTTGGCAATCACAGCCCTCCCCGGCTCTGCTCCAGCCCCGGCACTCGCCCGTTGGGGCGGTGGGGCTGCGCGAGGGCTTTGCGTGAGGGCTTGCTTTGCGCGAGGGCTTGCTTTGCATGAGGGCTTTGCACGAGGGCTTGCTTTGCACGAGGGCTTTGCACGAGGGCTTGCTTTGCATGAGGACTTGCTTTGCAGGAGGGCTTTGCAGGAGGGCTTTGCAGGAGGGCTTTGCAGGAGGGCTTTGCAGGAGGGCTTTGCAGGAGGGCTTTGCAGGAGGGCTTTGCAGGAGGGCTTTGCAGGAGGGCTTTGCAGGAGGGCTTTGCAGGAGGGCTTTGCAGGAGGGCTTTGCAGGAGGGCTTTGCAGGAGGGCTTTGCACGAGGGCTTTGCACGAGGGCTTTGTACGAGGGCTTGCTTTGCACGAGGGCTTTGCACGAGGTGTGATCCCTCCCGGGTCTGGCGTGTGCCCCGCATGCCTCGGTTCCTCTGGCTGTTTTACTGGATGGAGCTATCACCCAGTCGTGGTATTTTAGGGACAATTTGGAGTCGCCTTACCCCCTAACCCTGTACGTAGAATCATAGAATCGCTTTGGTTGGAAGAGACCTTTAAGATCACCAAGTCCAACCTTGAACCTAACCCTGCCATCCCAGTAGGATTGGTTGCTGCTCTCGTTTTAGAATCCCAGCATCGTTTGGGTTGGCAAAGCCCTTTAAGCTCCCCAAGCCCAGCCGTTACCCCAACCCTGCCATCCCACCGCTAAACCCTGGCCCTAAGCACCTCTTCTACACATCTTTTAAATCCCCCCAGGGATGGGGGGTCTCTGTTTTCCCTGTCTCCATCCTGAGCCTTGGCACAAGCCTTGTCGAGCGTTTCAATTCTCCACGCTCAGCCTGGACTCGCGGATGCAAATGCTGTGATTATCCCAGTTAGCGCTGCTTTTTTATGGTGTGTTTCCAAGGCAACGGGAAATTCCGAAGACCACAAACACACACACACACACACACATGGTCCTCCTCTTCCCAGACCTTATCCTCCAGTACAGGTAAACACTCTCGGGGACATTTTCAAGCTGTTTGAATGCTCATCTGAGTGGTCCCCAGTGTCCCTTGAGTGGCTCGGAGTGGGTAAGTGCCCCCTTTGAAGGCTGTAGACCCCCCCAGCTGCACAAACAGCTTTGGTTCTTTGAATATTTCCCCCCCTTCCCTGCCTTGCAGTGAGGCTCCAAAACCAAAAATGGGAATTTTGAACAAAGGGGCAGGAAAAAAAAAAAAAAAAAAAGTCGCAGTGGTTCGATGCTCTCTGAAAATAAGTTTTGGGTTTTGTTTTTTTTTTTTTTTCTGGGAGGGATGAGGGAGCTGTGCCGGTGTGGGGAGGGCAAGGGAAGTTTGTGGGAGGGCAGGAGGGGAGCGGGGAAGGACGGAGCGGGTACCCCTTGGAGCCACAGGGAGGAGGCAGTGGCGGATCACAGGTATCCCCATCTGCCCTCCTGGGAAGGTGGATTTTTTTCTTCGGGCTTTACGGGATTAAATGTAATCTAAAATAATCTGCAAAGTAGGAATTTTCTCCTGGAGTTTGGGTTTCCTTCTGCTTTGGAGACTGTACAGGTGTTGTGCTGGTATTTGGGGCACGGGGAGACCAGAAACGGGGGCGGTGGTGTTGCTGGGAGCCTGATCCCGGGGAGTTTATGGGAGTTTGGTTCTTCTGCACCCCCCCACCCCCGCGGCACCAGTTTGGCTGCACCTTGCAGAGATGCCGCTCTGCAGAGAGGTTTGCCAAGCCGGAATCCCGCTGAGCAGACTTTGGTGTCTTGCACTGCTATGTTCCTTATTAAAACAGCATTTCAGCTGGTGGGGACTGCGATCTTTTCCCCTCCAGGGCACTCATAAATACAGAAATTTCTCTTCTCTGCCTTGGCTTTGCGAGAAACTGCCGGTTTGGGTTTGTAGCGGGGCAGAACCCGGGCAGCGTGGCGGGGCCTTGAGTTGAGCTTGGGTTAAATGCACTTAGATTAAAACGAGAAGGGTAACAGCCTGGCCCGGGGTCCTGCTTTCCTGCTCGTGCCGGTCTTTGCCCCGTTGGAGCGCAGGGGGAGGGACGGTCCCAGGGCTGTTGCAGGGTTTGACCTTACTGGGTTTTTTTTTTCCTTCCTGTTTCAGAGGGTCTGGCAGTGGGAGTTGGATTTGGGGCCATTGGAAAATCCGCGTCTGCCACCTTCCAAAGCGCCAGGTAAGCCACGACCCCGCTTCTGCTCTGCGTGCATCGGGTTTGGTGTGCACTTTTGCCCCTTGGAGGCTGGCTGGCTGTCCGTCCGTCTGTCCCGCATGGCTCCCGTGCCAGTGGCAATGCAATGATTGACTGAAACTCGTCCGGAAGCACAGGAGCGGGCAGGGGGAGCAGAAGAAATTCCCCGTGCTGTTGCATTTCCCTAGTGCTTGTCCTTGTCGGACGTGACAGAGGAATGCCAGGATTTTCCACAAAAGCAGCGTTCCCAAAGGGTGGGAGCAGCTGCCGGAGCCGTTGGGAAGCGTGGGGTGGCTTTGTTTTTCATTCCTGCCAGGCAGGGGCACAGTGACGCTGGCACTGGTGGCAAGGAAGTCTCCCAATCCTCCCGGCAGCCCTGCTCGCCCGCTCCAGCCTCGCCAGCCGCCCCTCTTGCCCTGTTTTTTCGCCCCCGTGCTAGCAGGCAAAACCTTTTGTGCTTCTCTCCCGGGACTGATGTGAACACAGGGGGGTTAATTCAGCTTCTCCAGACTCTCTGCAGGGTGGGGTTTGGGCTTTGGGGGTGCGTTTCCATGCCAAGCAGGAGCAAACCCGGGCGCACAGGGTGGGGGACGGCAGGGAGAGCCCTGCTGCTTCCCCACGCCCAGCAGAGCTGAAACTGGGCTGACTGGGGGCATGGCTAAAGAAATGGGAGAAGGGAAGAGAAGTCTGGTGTGAAGCCGGAGCTGGAGGAGCTGCCTGGGCTCTGGAAGAGCTGCTGGCACCTCTTGGCGGCGGGCTCGCAAACGGCACCCTCTGCCCGAGGCTCCTCGCCAAATCCTTTTCTTTTTCTGTTTGGGTGTTGCGGCGGAGGCTGGTGGCACGCCACCTTCCCCGTGGCTTGTTCGCCAGAGCCAGGCTGTGATTTAGGCGGTCTGGGGACGCACAGCGTGTTCGGTCTGTGAGTAACCCTTACGGCCGGTGGGTGGAAGTGCCGGTACGTCTCAGCCGCCTTGCTCCTGCCAGAGGATCTGCGGTGCCCCAGGGCTGTTTTTGGAGCCCTCCAGGTTGTCCAGCCCCTTCTCCCGGCAGGGCACAGGCTGTGCTTGCGAGGACCCTTGCAAAGATACGAGCAAAACCTTCTGTACCCGCTGCCCTGCCACATCCCCGGCTGATGGGGACAGCATGGGCTGGCTCTGGGTGCGCAGCCCCAAGCCCTTCGATCGCCGCGGATGCCGTCCAGCTTTGTGGTGAGGAAAGCAGGGATGTGCCAGCTCTAGGCACCGCGTTCCGCTAACCTATTGAAATAAAAGGCTCTCGGTGAAGCCTGCAGAGGCTCTAGAGATGCTCGAACAAAAGGACTTCTTGTCATCAGCTGCTCAGTAGAAGCTAAGAAGCCAGAAGCAGCTGGTTCTTTCTCTGTATTTACAACAGCATTAATCACGTTAGATGAAAGGTGGAGTCTGTACCATGAAAATACCAATGCAAATTTAGTCAGCTGTGAAAGGAGACAAAATAACTTCATTGCCATCAGTCTGTCTGTCGCTGTCACCTGCGGGCAGCCCAAAAATCGCTCGGTGTAGCCGCTCTGCCGCGAAGCCATTTGCAAATATCCAAGGGTAAAATTTGAGGTGGCCGTGTGGTGTTATTGTAGGCTTGAAAAACAGCAGCGGAATTACATTTGATGTCACGTGCTAAATCTTTTGACACATCCCAAGGGAAAATTGCTCCTGGGTCAACCTGAGCCCCTAGGGGACTCGACAGTTGTGATCCCCCTCGCGTCCACTTGTTTGAGATCGCGTTTTAATGAACCAGCGGCGTGACTCAGTTTACCTCCTCCATTCTCCTTCTGCTTCCCCCTGCCTGTGAGTCCCCGTGTTAGCTCCGAGCCGAGCCGGAGCTGGGGCGAGCTGCCTCTCAGGAAGGCTTCTGCCTTCAAACCTGGGATCGTGCTAAAGAATTTATCAACGCTCCGGCGCGCTCAGAGCCCGAGCTTAAGATGCTGGGGGATGCTGGCAGTGACTGGTGGATGTTGCCAGGCGTGGCTGTGACTTGCCCATGCTACCCGGAGGACTTCCCTTGCTGACTTGTGCTTGGTGAATAAACGCTGGCTTGCTTGGGAAAGTGCTGCCTGATTGCATTGCTCCCGGAGGGGCGAGACCTTGGCTGGAGCCTGAATTCCTGCCAGCTGGCTGCAGGACCCTGGTGAGCCGCAGCTCTGCCGTATCCTGAAGGGCCATTTTTGGAGCCGTGGGCTTTGCAATTCAGCGGGGAGTTTGCGGAGGGACAATTAGGAAGAAGGGGGAGAGCACCAGCAGCTCTGCCAACGGCAGGGGTGCCGCAGCAGTGGTGTCTGGGCATTGCAAGCAGCCGGGTGCTGCTCTGGCCTGCTCAAACCCCCGGGCACCCGAGCGGCTCAGGGGTGGGTGTTGCATCAGGGTCCCTGCCCGCCTCGGCCAGGGTCCCAAGCGCTTTGCTTTTTTCCTTTGCTTTCCTTTCATAAGGGCTAACAACCCTGTTCCCGACACCTTCCCAGGATCCCCTGAGGTTTTTCCTGGGCTGGGGACTTGCCCCTGCGCTGGTGGTTGGGGATTTTTGGTGCCGCCCGCTCCCTGCCGTTAGGAAAAATTTCTTCCCCAAAAGGGCTGTCAGGCTCTGGAAGGGGCTCCCGGGGAAGGGGTTGAGTCCCCATCCCCGGGGGGATTTAAAAGATGGGTAGATGAGGTGCTGAGGGCCAGGGTTTAGTGGTGGGATGGCAGGGTTAAGGGAATGGTTGGGCTTGATGGGCTTAAAGGGCTTTTCCAACCTAAATGATTCTGTGATTCTCCCCGCCCGTGGCAGGAGGGGTGCTGTGCGCTTGGGGCTGCGCCGGTGCAGAGCTCAGCATGGCGAGGGACTATTTTTGGGTTTTAAAGCACAGTGGGGCCGAGTGTGCTACAGAGATGGGGCTGGTGACCACCAGCACGGGCGGCGTAAGCAGAGCGCTGCAGGCAGAGACCCGCAGCCGATGGTCCGAGGCAGGGGGACGCTTCGGGGTTTGGTTAAAAACCCAAAAAGGATGATTAGGGAGCAGAGTGGGATTCTCACCGTTTAAAACACCCGGTGATTTGCATGTGCAGGCATCACCTCTGCTGTTCCCTGACCCTCTGGGCTCTGGTATGGTCCTGCCCCATAACCCCTGTGAGTGCAGGATCCGGCCCGCTGGGCTCCTCCATCCACCCCATCTTCCCGGAGCGTCTCGGTGCTGCCTGCCAGGGCTCTGCCCGCGCTCGTCCGCGTTTCTTTGCTGCCACCGGGTGTGCAGGCTCCATTCCTGCGATCTCGCTCCCCCACGGCTCCTCTCCGCTGGTGCCAGGGCTCGCCCTTGGATTGCAGCCCCTCGCCTGGTGAGTTCGCTCGCTTAGGGCTTGCGGTGTGGGGGGACCCCACCATACTCGGCCTGTCAGGGGATGCAAGTGAAACACGGTCCCGTGCCCGAGGAAGGTGGGGTCTCAGCGGTGGGGGCTGGATCTTCGCTTTTGTGCGCAGGCGGGTATCGGTGCTCCTTCAGCTGGGCTGCACACTCGAGCCTGTTTCGGAAAGGTGATGGAGGTTTTGTGGCAGTTTAGATGGGTCTTAGGATGACCTAATGTCTGCTTTTGGGGTGTTTCTTGGGGGGGGCTGAGCCGCTGCTCATCCTTGGGCAGGAGCGGGCTGCGGAGCATCCCTCTCCCTCCTGCGGAGCATCCCTCTCCCGGCTGTGGAGCATCCCTCTCCCGGCTGCGGAGCATCCCTCTCCCAGCTGCAGGTTTGCGTGCCCAGTTCCTCACATGAATAAAAACATCAGAAAGTCCCAGAGGCTGAAAATAGCGGCTCAGGACAAAGCTGCTGCAGTGACAGAAGAGGAGCAAGACCCAGCACAGCGTGTGCTCAGGGTGGAGGAGCGATGCCCGGGGTGGGGTGTGCGGCGAGCCCGGGGAGGGGAAGGTCCCCTCCAGATGGGAGCAGGGAGGCATGAGCCGCTCCTGGCTGCCTTCCAGGCAGGAAGGTAAAGAGAAGGGTAGCCA